ACTCGGCAGAAAGTGAGTTTTCCCCTCACTGTTCAAAGAAGTCTTTCTTCACCTTGAAAATCCAGTAACTTTCCAAGGGAATGTCTTCTTGTTGAAAGCACTGAAACAGAATTTTCTGGGACGTGCTATGCCCTTTTAAATATAGATCAGTCCTCATTCACTTCAGGAAAGTTTCCTAAGTTCTACCTTCTAATATATTTTTAAAAATATTTTGATTGATTATACATAGGTTTGAGTTTTGTTTGGATCTCATTTATATAATTTTCTCTGTAATCTTTTAACTTTTAGTTTTTGTTCGTCTAATTTTGTTCATATTTCTTAAGCTTCTTTTGTCCGTCCCTGTAATTCTCAGTCTCTTTTCTCTCTTTTGTTCATGCTGGTGTCTTTTATTTCTGTAGGAGTTTTCAGCATATTTCATGTCTTTCCTGAGTTCTTTTAGCCTGCGTTTTCCTTCTCTAATCTCACCACACTTATGATCTTATTAAATCCTTATTTTCAGCTTTTGTTCTTAAGAAACAATTGCTTTTATTACTTTTTTAAAAGTATGGCAATATGACAGTTTTTAAGTTTATATCACGGTGACATTTTTCTGGAGACTATTGTGACATACTTGCTTTACCCTTTTGATTTTAAAGGGCTCACATGATTAGGTTGAGCACAACCAGATAATCCTCCTGACTTGTTCAGAGTCCACTGAGTAGTCACCTTAAATTACCGTGCAGAATCCCATTTGCCACTGTCACATAACCAAAGGCATGCTGTTGCCATAGTCACAGTCTCAGGCATCAGGATGGGGAGTTTGGGGGACCATCTTGGAGTTCTACGTAAAATTGTAGTTATGCAGCAGAGGGGCTGTTCTGGACAAGCAGGGATTCTCTCCGTTGAGGTGGGTGCCCCGCATGGGTAAATGTTTTACTTTTTAGTAAAACATTTTTCTCCCCTACATAAACCCAAATAATTAGAAGTCACTCTAATAATTTCCTAATTAATTTGGGATTTGAGATCAAATCCCAAAATAATTAGAGAATGGGAAATGATTTTATCATCCAGAAAACAATGATTATGTACAGTTCCTTTTGCCTGCAGTCGTTCAGACTCCACTCATTTCCAAAGTTACTTAGGTCAGCACCCTTACCCCCACCCCCTTTAGTGAGGTGGTTTTATGCATTTTCATTATAGTTAGATACTTTTGTCACTTTCTGCAATTTATCCTGGAAATCTCTGACCTCTTAATTATTTAAAAAACTTGTGTACAGTGAATGTTCCTTTGTGCCAAAAAGTTCAATGAATTTAGACAAATTCATAATCTTTTATATCCACAATTAAACTATCATGTAGAATTATTTTACCACCCTAAACAAATTCTTTTTGTTGCATTTATTTAACCCGCATTCCATCTTCCTGATCCCTTGGCAACCACTAATGTATTTACCATCACTATGGGAAATAGTGCCTTTCTAGATAGTTTTACACTTGGAATCATACAATGTGATTCCTGCCAAGCAGACACAGACCTTCACCAACTAGTCTGACAACCAGCCTGGTGTGCTCATTCCTATTTATGAAGGTGAGCATGCTGTGACCAAGGATAATGACCTGCTTGGCTAGTTTGAACTCACAGGCATACCTCCTGTACTTCATGGTGTTCCTCAGATTGAAGTCACTTTTGCTGTCAGTGCCAATGGCATCCTTCATGTCTCTGCTGTGGATGGGAGTACAGGAAAAGAGAACAAGATTATCATCACTAACAACAAGGGTTGCCTGAGCAAGGAAGACACTGAGCCAGGAAGCTGAGAAGTACAAAGCTGAAGATGAGAAGCAGGGGGACAAGATGTCCTCCAGGAACTCACTTGAATCCTATGCATTCAACATGAAAACAACTGTTGAAGATGAGAAACTTCGAGGCAAGATCCATGATGAGGAAAAACAAGATTTTTGACAAGTGCAATGAAATCATCAACTAGCTTGATAAGCAAACCAGACTGCAGAAAAGGAAGAATTGGAGTATCAGCAGGAAGAGCTGGAAAAAGTCTCCCACCCAGTCATCGCCAAGCTGTACCAGAGTGCAGGTAGCAAGCCAGGAGGAGTACCTGGGGGCTTCCCTGGGGGTGGAGCCCCTCCATCTGGGGGGCCTCCTCTCAGCCCACCACTGAAGAGGTTGATTAAGCCAACCTCTTGCATAGATTTAGCATTGTTCCACACGAAATATTGAAAGACCCAAATATGTAGCAAATGCAATGGCAGTTTTAAAAATTGAGCTGCTATATGATAAAACTGAGCATTCTGGATACTTGAATATGGACTATGTGCAAAGGGAAAGGAAATAATGCACTTCGCAAGCACTGTATTATAAAGTGGAAAATGCGATGTCATAAATAAAACTACTTAAAATTGGCACCATAAAAAATGTGTAGCCTTTTCAGATTGGATTCTTTTACTTAGCAATATGCTTTTAATATTCATGCCTTTCTGTCCTGATATGCTATTTCTTTGTTTCAATTCTAAGAATATCAATAGAAGAGAATTATTTAGAAATAATGCAGAGTGATATATTAGACCCAATGATTTTGAAAAGTAGCCCTGGCTGGGTAGTTCAGTTTGGTGGGGCATCATCCAGAAATGCCAAGTTTGTGGGTTCAGTATCTGGACTGGGTACGTATCAATCAGTAAATGCATAAATAAGTGAAACAACAAATTAGCATTTCTCTCTAGGTCCTTTCCTCTCTGTCTCCTTTCCTAACTCTGTCTCTCTGAAATCAATAAATAAAAGTTTTCATAGGTAGATCTGAGGCCCTGTTAATTTGGGAAAATGATAAAATAAAATGTTAACTGTTTCAGAGCCTTTCATGCAATACTGAAAAATGGGTTAGCTGCAGACTAAGGTATTCATACCCTCAAAGCTTAGGCAGCTGAAGTAATTACCAGAAACGTGTGCTGGAGAGGGGCCACACCAGTCAGAGCGCTCAGAAGTAAACCCACACATAAGAAATGTTGTAAGAGATGTGCTCTTTTGTTAACCCAACAGAATGCTGCATCCCTGTCTCATCCCACTAAAATATATTACATATGAAGGTTAAAAAAGTAATAACAATGTTAGGATAAAATCATTGCAAATTTATATGCCATCTTGGAGAAGGGAAGACTTTTTCTGTGTCAGAACCTATGAAGTCAGTTTGAAAAGCTGTGTCACATAAAAAGTGCAAGTGGCCAATAAACATGGAAAAGTGATTAACTTCAATGATACTATTTAAAAATAAAATTTTAAAATTATGTTTATGTGTAGAGATAGGCAATGAGAGAGGCAGTTTTTTTTATTATGTAAATGCTGCATTGGTGGTGGGATTAAATAGTTGTGTAACTTTTTGATAAGGCAATTTGGCTACATCAAAATATACATACTTATATGCTTTGACCTGGCAGTTTCACACTTTGGAACCTAAACTACAGATTTGTTTGTACAAATATGCAAAGATAAATTTAAATATATTCATCATAACATTGTTTGTAATGACCTAAACATATGTATAATATTCATAATATGTTACATTATTATTAAATACAGATTGTGGACTAGGTAAATAAATCATGGGACATTCAGGCTGTGGATTAATATAACAGTGCCAACAAAAAATTTTAAATATAGCTCTAAGTTCCAACATCAAAGATGTTCAGGACATAATAACTGAAAACTGGAAGTTGTTAAATATGAGAACCATATATTCAGTATAATCATATTTGTGTAAAAAAGTAAATGGACATAAAACATGCATGTGGGAGAAGAATGTCTAAAAAGTGATAAAAAGAACTGTCAACAGGGGTTTATCGCCTCCGTCTCAGCACCTGGGAGAGCATAAAGGGGAGCAAGCGGGGGGAAGGGACAGTAATGTTCTTCTCTAATATTCTTCTGTCCTATTTAAAATTCATTTTAAAGACCATGTTGAATCTTCATGGGTTACTTCTGGAAAACAACACACACCAAAGCCCCACAGAATACTCTTATAATGAAAATCTCTACCGGATTACTACAGAAGGATATTTGCCTATTTATTAAAAAGGCAATTTACCCACTGCACAAAAGAAATAGAAAAAAATCATAAACCAAGAAATATAACATATATTAAATCTTGCTATGTGCCAGATAATGAGATTGTTAGTCCAATTTACTATCTCTGAGAAACTGAATATTGAAACCAGGAATTACAATTCAAATGTCCAACATAGTCAGGGAAGTACACAAATAATGACAGGAAATGTCTTGATCTGCTATTAAGGAACTAAAAATAGAATTAGCCGAGGTCATTATTAAAATGCCAGTTCCTGGGTACAATGCCAGATTCAAAGGGGAGAGATGAGATATATTTTTAAAAAGCATCTTTGTTCATTAATATTATCAGATAAGTTTAAAAAATATGGATTCACCCAGAGTTTGACTGTGATTTTTAAGGTTTAAATAAAATTTTAAAGAGAACCATTTTTCTTTTGATGATATTCAAAAGAATATCCTGCAGACCCATAGATTTCTTCAAAATGTAAAGGTAATAAAATAGTTTGATCTGTAAAAAAGAAACTAGACATAGCTTCCAAATATTACTGCTTTGTGGTGAATATTAAGAATTACTATTTTGACCAAAATATTTCATAACCCAAGTACACTTATCAAATGTGTTGAAGTTCATTCATAAATCCAGTGCGGTGGGCATATTGTATGCATGACTGGCACCACTTGCTTCAATTGTGTTTACATTAATGTAGCTGTAAATTTGTTAATTTTGATTCTTAAAGTATTGTTTCTCAGTTTTGTTCTACATTTTCTAAATTTTAACATGGTAATGTTTCATAATTCTCTTTATTAATATATGTATTTTAAGATAGCTAAATATAATCAAAGTGAAGTGAAGAAATAAAGAGGGTTATGTTAGGCAGGTATAATTTATAAAGATAAATACTTAAAATATTAGTTGAATTTCTTTATATTCATCACTTTATTTGTTTTCCTAAAGATACTTGCTTAATAGCAAGGAATAGAACCAGTTGTACCTCTTCAAGTTCTTCACTTTCCAACTACTTGTATGTCTTCATCTTGGGACAACTATTGCTGGGGACAGGAGGAACTCCTCTCTATACCCTGGGAACAGCCTTTCTGGATGATTCTGTACCCACACATAAGTCTTCTCTTTATATAGGTAAGTTTGCTCTGTAATATAAATGTCTCAGTATCATTTCATCTTATTGCTTGATTATAAATAAGCAAACACATACTTCCTTTAAAAGTTAGATGTAATTTCATAAGAATTTCCATGAGATACATGGCGATATTACTTTGTTTTATTATTTACTGACATCATGTCCTTCACTTGAGTGCAGTTAAGAGTTTGGTTATGCACATCGGGGTGCACAGGTTCTTTTAACTGGAACATTATCAACAAAAGAAAATAGCTAACAAAATATAACCAGAGACATTGAAATGAAGAACAATTTAACAATAGCCAGAGGGGAGGGGACAACAGGGGGGGGAAGGGTTTTCAGGAACTACTGTAAAGGTCACATGGACAAAACCAAATGTGGAGGGTGGAAGTAAGGAAGGGAGGTGGATTTGTTTGGGGTGGGTGGGGGAGTGGTGGAGGAAAAATGCTGACAACTGTAATTGAACAACAGTAAAATAATTTTAAAAAAGAGTTTTGTTGAATGTCCTGCCCTATATCTTGTTCTGAGCATGCACACCTTCCTGGAAGTGCCATCCAAGCAGTAGACAGACTGCTTGGATTCCAGGCTAACTTACACAGGGTGTAGAGATTGAGCTCTGCTATTCTGTGTGATTTACCACATCCTATTGACTGAAGTCAACAAGAGAAACCACAAGACAGTACCCAGAAACTCTGTGGCTTTTCAGATGAACCCTTTTGATATATGGCTTGATTTTTTTTCTTGTGATCTAATTTTTTAAATTTTTGATAGCATAAATTTCTCTTAAATTTTTTCCCTGATGTTCTATAAGGTAGAGCTAATTAGACTATCCATGGCCCCACAGCCAATTAATGTGTTATTTATTTGCACATGTGTTTTCACTTTATCAATCTGTTATTCTAATGTAAGGGACTGAATTAGTCCATTTGGACTGCTACAATAGAATACCATAGACTGGTTGGCTTACAAACAACAGAAATAATTATTGGGCCCTGGCTGGTGTAGCTCAGTGGATTAAGCGTGGGCCTGCAAATAAAATGATCTTGGTTCGATTCACAGTTAGGGCACATGCCTGGGTTGCAGGCCAGTTCCCAGCAGGGGACGCACAAAAGGCAACCATACATTGATGTTTCTCTCCCTCTCTCCTGCCCTTCCCCTCTAAAGATAAATAAATAAAATCTTAAAAAAAAGAGAAATAATTATTGGGATTTATTGCAATTATTGTTATAACCTATCAACCTTTACACTGAACTATATATTTGAGCTTTTGGATTTTATAGGCGACACCATTCAAGTGGCATTATTTTAGTGAAAATATGTGTAATTTTCATGTAATCCTAATTTTGACCTTTCTACAATAAAATATTTGTGTTTCTTTGCTATTGTTATACATTCAAAACACAATTGCACGGATGACCATTTTCCATGTTTTTGTCCTTCTTCCAGGAATTGGCTATTCTATGTCAATATTAGGCCCTGCTGTTGGCTATGTGTTGGGAGGACAGCTGTTAACCTTTTACATTGATGTTGGTTTGGGAAAAAGGCAAGGCAATATCTGTTTTTCTTTTATTCAAATTTATTTTATTATTATAATGTTAACATCATAGACAGAACATCTTCACTATATTTTCTTAGTATGGCATGAGGAATCAGGAAACAAAGTTGAATAAACATAATTTTTATATAATATTTTGTCTGCATTGTTTCATAAGTTAATGTTATACAATCTTTTAATATAAAATTTTAATTAATAAATAAGAATGCTTAGAAATAACCTGGTTTAAATTTTTCAAAATAGATATACAAGACCCCATGCATTGTTCAAAAGAAGAATTTCATCAAAATTAGGTATGCTTGTAGTAGATTTAGCTGGAGGTGGATAGCTTGAAGGGTCAAGAGTCTGTGATTCTCAGACTAAGTTCTGTAGTAGCTCTGATGATGTTGTAGAGATCACAGTTGTGCAGTTTTAATAACTGTGACGATGGGGAATGGTAATAGGTAATGTTTCTTTATACTATACTATGTTCTGAAACATAGGTTCTGTGTTACCTCATTTTACATGCCAATTTTATTCTTCTTAATAATTTTATGAGATAGTTGATACACATAGCTGGGTAAGTGGTCAAGACATGAATCAAAGTAGATCTTTTTGACTCCAAAATCCCCATCTTAGCCACTGAGTCACCTTCTTCTTTTCCCAAATTGAGAAGTTAGTGACATTTGAGGTCCTATTTTCTCACTTTACAACTGGGGATTATAACTATACCATCCTCTGCATGACTGTGAACAATGAATATGTGGTTATGGCATATGTCCTTTGAGCTGCTAGTCCTAGTTAATAGAGACTATATGAAAAGGTGTCAGAGGAAGCCCTTGAAGCAGAGAGCTGGATTTTAAGAAAGGACATTTTAGTGGAAAATTCCATAAGTTGTGGGAGTGTTGTGTTTTGGGGAAGAGACTATTGATATAAAATATGAAAACCATTATTGAAAAATGTAATAAATCACTCTGTGAAGACCATTATAATTAAATGAATGCTGTAATTGAAGCACAGCGTATGGACTTTTAACAAGACCAGCTGTGGGATGTATTTAATGTAGTAGAGAAGAAAAACAGCCAAAGTTAGATAAAGAATGTTCAGAAATTCTATGTATGCTTTCATATATTTAACATACTTATATTTACTATTAAATACTTGAAACTTTTATGTCTTACTTGCCATTCTGAAATACATTGCAAACCATTATTCTTACAGCTTTCATTTATGCCTAGCCTACTATGTCTTGTCTGATTCATCAAAATGACTCCACTTGAAATATGGATATTAAAACATATACCTCTATAGATGCACTTGAATTATAAAGTATATAATTATCATAACTGAGTTTTACTTAACAAGACAGAGTTGACTCTAACCTTCTGTTTTCCTATCATACAGCACTGGTATCACGGAGGATGACCCGCGATGGCTGGGGGCGTGGTGGATTGGATTTCTTATGGCTTGGTTTTTTGCTTGGTCTTTGATAATACCTTTTTCTTGCTTTCCAAAACATTTACCAGGTAAAAATGTTTTCTTTAAAACCAGGGAGCTGTATTTCCAATTTAAGACAAAGTATTGCTTTCTATAAATTGATAAAAACCCAAGAAATGCACTGTTTGTTTTATAAAAATCTAAATTGTCTGTCTATGCAAACTTTTAAATAGCTGTCTCTATTTTAGAAGATATTGGGTAGGAATCTTAATTTTCATGGTTTTCCTTTATTTTCCATTAAGAATCAGTAAAACTGTACATACTCACCTCCTTCCTGTATACTTACTGTGTTTGTTTCTTATGTGTTATCTGAAATCCTGCTTTATGTATACTTGTAAGATATGATAGCTTTTAAATTATTACCTTGTATTCGGTTAGGCACTAACTTCATTACAAGTCTACCTTAGATAATTGATGTTAATTATTTGTTGTTGAAAGTACAAGTGATTTTTTTCCAATTGTCACCAGCTCATTGTCAGTATATGCTAGTGCTAGACAGTCTGTCCAAAACAGAAAAGATTAATAGAAGAGAATATCCATTTCTTTCTCTCTGACATTTTGCTTCTGTACAATCATGTAGTTCAAATATATATATATATTTGAGATATATATATATATATATATATATATATATATATATATATATATATTTCTCTACACTCAGGGTATTTCATTGTTTCTCTTGTATAATTACCATTTGGAAATGGGCAAATGATAAGTTGGCAGAATAGAAGTAGGTGAAACCATTGATTTTTTTTCTCTTGGACCATCCCAGTTATAATACTATATATTGACTGTTTTCTCAGACTTATTCCAAGAACCATTATTAAACACCAAAAGGACCTGGTAGTAGATGGTAAATATTGTTTTATTTGCAAAGCATGTTAGAATTAAAGAGAGTAATAGGCTCTACCATACTTTGTTTATGGTATAAATGATGAGAAAGAGAAGCATTTTAATGGAAGAAAATATTTTTGAGAGATTTTCAATAAAGAGAATAAATATATATTGGAGTAAAATCATTTCATTTTTAAGTTTTAGATAGGTTGGAATTTTTTTTAGTTAATGGTGATAATAGTAGATCTTGGGACAGCCAGCTTGCCAACATGGATTTTCATACAGTTGTTGTTTTTTTGTTTTTACAAAGCGAGAAACTGGCTTCTTATATTTGGAATTTATATGCTTGTAGAAGTGTGTATCAATTGAAAAGAATGCATTTTTAAAAATGAAAAATGAAGTGATAGAGCAAGTACATGTACTATTTCTTTAGGTACAGAAAAAATTCAAGATGGAAGAACTTCCCAGACTCATCAGAGTAACACTTCTTTAGAACTTACAGATGAGAATTTTGGAAAAAAGTTTAAAGATTTTCCAGCTGCTCTTAAGGTAAAATAACACTGTTCACACATACCCCTCACACACACATATGTAGGTATGTAAACACATACACACATATACAGATATTTCCACAACGCATTATTGTTTGCTTACTTACTGTTATTCTAGTTTTTATAAATAACTCTTCAGATTTCATTGTATTGTACTTTGGGTAAATGAAAACTATTCCAGAGTAGAACAGTTGAAAGAAAATGAGTTATCTTATTGGCAATATCAATATTCAGTGGTTCCTCATTCTCACTGTGGCCCATACTCCACGCCATTCCCTTTCTGTATCGTGTAGATCAGTATCACTGACTTGTAAACCTGTATTTGAGAACATCAAACCAATGCCTTTCCCTTGTGAAAGAAATGGCAGTCAGTGGCTACTTGGTTTGAATCTGAGGTTAAACAAAGTTTTATGGTTTGTTTGTTGAACTCAGCAGAAAAGCATTCTTTCTATTTAGCATTATAAAAGTATTTCACATGAAAGACTTTATACTTTTACCTTTTCAAGATCTTAAATTTACTTTTCCTAGATCATCTGGCTCTGATTTCTAAATCTCTTATTTTGCCCCTTTGTGACCCTTGCGTTTGCATGTGTGTGAGTGTGTGTGTGTGCACGTGGTGGTTGGTTTTATGAAGTTTTTTTGCCTTTAATATTCCAGAAATATATTTTGGTTTTTATTTGATGGTTAGATATATTGAGATAATGAGTCTCTATACTCCATTCTGTCTAGCAACATAGACACCTCTTTAAAATTACATAACTCTGTGCCTGAGTGAGGTCCGTAACTCCCGAGTCCTTCCTCCTCGGAACTACACGTTAGACACATAAGGACCATTCTCGGACTTCCGCCAAGATGGAGGTATAGGTGGATGTGCCGTGCCTCCTCACACAACCAAGTTTGGGGACAACTAAATATTAGCATCAGAAAACACAACCAGAACACGGAAAACTGAACTTTTCGGAAGTCCGCTAACAACAAATTGTTCAGCCCGACCGGTAAGGGGCGAAACCGGCGTCTGGTGAGGAGCTGCAAGGAAGAGCTCGGTGGGACCCGGGTGCGGAATCCAGACGCGCGAATCCAGACGCACGGGTTCCAAACCCAGGATTGGACCTAGTGAGCGACCGAGCAACCCACCGGGTGAGCGACTGCAGAGGAGACAGTGGGGAGGCGGTGCAGCGAGTTGACTGCGGTTGCCTAATTGCGCGCGAGCGAGGGAGTGGGCGGTTGGACTGGCCGCAGCAGCGATAGAGGGTGCCGCCATTTCCCCACTCTGACCACGCCCCCACATACAGCGTCACAACCCAGCGACCTGGGAGTCCAAGGCGCAGTTTCTCACATTTAAAGGGCCAGAACAGACCAAAAATGTCGCAGGGAGACCTCAAAGCCCCAGAGATAAATCTAAGCGATGAAGAAATAGCAAAACTCTCAGACGCACAGTTTAAAACACTGGTCATCAGCTTCCTCACAGATCTGGTTGATTATAGCCACAAATTAGAGAAACATATGAAGGCTAAATTAAGGGAAATGAATGGAATTCCACAGGAAACCCATAGCGATGAAAAGGAAACTGGGACTCAAATCAATGGAGTGGACCAGAAGAAACCAAATAATGGCCAAACAGAAAAGAGTCAAGGAGCAAGAATTCAAAGAAATGAGGAGAGTCTTAGGAACCTCCAGGACATCTTTAAACGCTCCAATATCCGAATTATAGGGGTACCAGAAGGGGGGAAAGACACAGCCACCAGTGGAAAAACTATTTGAACAAATAATAAAAGAAAATTTCCCCAATCTGGCAAAGGAAATAGACTTCCAAGAAATCCAAGAAGCCCAGAGAGTACCAAAAAAGTTGGACTCAAGAAGAAACACACCAAGGCATATCATAATTACATTAGCCAAAATTAAAATGAAGGAGAGAATCCTAGAAGCAGCAAGAGCTAAGGGGACAATCACCTACAAAGGAGTCCCCATCAGACTGTCAGCAGATTTCTCAAAAGAGACCTTACAGGCAAGAAGGGGCTGGAAAGAAATATTCCAAGTCATGAAATCCAAAGACCTACAACCAAGATTACTCTATCCAGCAAAACTTTCATTTAGAATGGAAGGACAGATAAGGTGCTTCTCAGATAAGACCAAATTCAAGGAGTTCATCATCACCAAGCCCTTATTATATGAAATGTTAAAGGGACTTATCTAAGAAAAAGAAGTTAAAGAAACATGAACAGTGAAAGAACAACAAGCTCACAGTTATTAACAACCACACCTAAAACGAAAGCAAACTAAAAGAACAGCTAGATCAGGAGTGGAAATATAGAAATGAAGATCTCAAGGAGGGTTAGCAACAGGGGAGTGGGAGGAGGAGATGGGGGGAGAAGGTACAGAAAATAAGTAGCATAGACAGTAGATAGAAAATAGATGGGGGGGGCAAGAATAGCATGGGAAATATAGAACCTAAAGGACTTGAGACACATGGACATAAACTAAAGGGGGGTAATGGTGGGGTTGGGGGGCAGGGTGGAGGGGAATGAAGGGGGGAATAGAACAACTGTAACAGCATAATCAATTTTAAAAAATAAATTAATTTAAAAATTAAAAAAATAAGGACCATTCTCAGGTGTGTTCATGGTCAGGTTCTTTATTTACTGGGCACAGGAATTCAGAACACAATAAAAATCGATTATGGGGCAGATTTACTGTATGGAGATTTACAGGAAGGCTGGGGAAGGTAGGCTTTCCAATGAGGTTTTACCCCTTCTTCCACCCCCTTGCCTATGACAAAGGCACAGCCGTTCAGCTGATGCATCATCATTTGTCAGTCATCTGGGTGCGCCACAGACTGATATTCTCAACATTCTCTGTGTAAAGCTATATAATCTATATTTATACTTTAATGCTGAAGAAAAGCTGAAATTTTACAAATAATTATATGGTGTTTATTGAAAATTGCCATTGTGATGCTGTTTTGCAGTTTGATCATAGTTATTCATTTGGTGAACTGTATTTTTTCTTTAGAATTTGATGAAGAATACTGTCTTTATGTGTTTAGTTATATCAACTTCTTCAGAAGCCTTAATTACTACTGGATTTGCTACATTTTTATCTAAATTTATAGAAAATCAGTTTGGATTGTCATCCAGCTTTGCAGCTACACTTGGAGGTAAAACATTTTATTTGTTTTCATGTAATCTAATAATTTTACTGCACTATATTAAATGTTTAATAATACACATTAGCATATAATTTTTGATAGCCAAATCCTTGAAATATAAACTTCATACTGATTTTGATAAAAGTTTCTGATATTCTGACATTAAACAATCTTTTGTGTGAACTTGAAAGACACAGAGGTTATATAGCTGTGTAGCTAAAGAGAATGCATATTACTATTAACATGCAAAACATTAATTTTCTTAAATTTATTAACATAACTACTAAGTCATTTATTCCTGTGCATCTAAATCACAAGTGTTTTTGCATGTTAAAACCAATTTACCGCTTGTTCTTGATGATCTCCAATTTTTGGTGTGAGTTACTGAGTATATTTGTGTGTTTTCTCACTGTGTCTTCTTTCTTATCAGGCGCTATTTTAATTCCAGGAGCTGCTCTCGGTCAGATTTTAGGTGGTGTTCTTGTTTCGAAATTCAAAATGACGTGTAGAAACACAATGAGGTTTGCTTTGCTCACATCTTTAATCGCACTGGTGCTGGGTTTTGTATTTGTTTATGCCAGCTGTGAAAACGAGCCATTTGCTGGTGTGTCTGAATCATATAATGGGTAAATATATTTCAATGCTTATTGAAATTAATATTAGAGTACTGAACTATGTGTGTATTTCCAAGTATGTTATAAATTGATGAGAGATTGTGTATTTCTTTTTAATTGGAAGCATTTTTCCTGTGTCAGAATAGGTACTTTTTATTTTAGTTTAAATAATTGACATCTTATTAAAAGTCAGGAATCCAGTAGATAGAGAGCAGTTATTCTGTACTGATATTATAGCCCAGGGATACAAAGATTTAATACAGCAGAATCTTTGCTCTGAAGTGATTTATATCTAAGGGAGAATTTCACGTTATATGTTCCTATTGACTTAGAGACATGTCTTCATGTCTTCTGAATCAAGCTTCTAAAATGAAGCTAGTCCTAGGTGGTAACAATCACTGTTATATCTACTTTAGAAGTTCATGTTTACTGTAAAGACATACATGACTTCTCCTTCTGCTCTGTAACTACACTTCCACCTTGAACTGGTTTGACCATTTTCTCTCTCTTTGCCTTGTTTGTTTTGCTCTGCAGTCCAAAGCCAAGAGCAGCGATTCAGGCAGGAGGGTGCATGGCAGTGTGTTTTATAGCCTGCAGTGCTGCCGTGATATTAGTTTCACTACCTGTGTTTGAGGCTGTTGGGGAGATGGTACTCCAGGTCAGGGACTTCGTAGTTTGTATAATACGGCATTCAAATAACCTAATTAAAATATACTTTGGAAAAGTTTGTCATTAACAGTTATCATGTTGTATAATTGCTGAATATGTCTGTTATTGCTTTACACAAATGAGATGCTGAGCATTCTAAAGCCGTGTTTAGTTCAGCTCACATTTATTTAGCGTTCGTTGACTGCTTCCTCTGGCAGAACTTTATGGCAAAAATCTATACTCTAGAGGAGTTTTCATTGTAGCAGGAGAGACTGGGAAATAAAACAGTGAATGAACAATGCATTAGGTAATGAGAGTTATGCAAAAGGCTATGAAATTCAGAAAGAGAGCTTTTCAGTTTCCTTTGACTAGATTCAGGAAAGGCTTCATGGCAGAATAAAAATGGGGATGAAATGTCCTTTAGGGAAGCAAAGAATTTTGAGAGGTAAAGATATTAGAAGAGGGAAAGGCAGAGGGAATATATTAAGCCAATAAATGCTAGAAGTTGAAGGCTAGGTTTCAGGACCCATTTAAATTGGCTTAGGTCATGTTTCTGGAAATAGTAGAAAAATATCTGGAAATACTGAAAGGTACTAAAGGTAAGCTGGGCAGATGTGACTTTCACACCCACACCTATCTCAAGAAACCAGTCATTTTGGTGTGTTTCTTTTAGAGGAACAAAAAGTTCTGGACAGTTTAATACTAATCTATCACCTTGACAGATGAACCAAGTAGATGCAAATCCTTTTAGTATTTTCTGCCTAAGGCAAGAGTTACTACCAGATGAACCGCCCTTAGTCTAATCAGAGAGGAGAAAGCAAATGAGATGCTACCCGTTTGAGGTGCATGCAGGGGTTCGTCATCAAGAAATACCAAGAGCTGACGTATAGTGCTTAATGCACACGTTCTTGGTGGGGAAAAAACCCAAAAGTGAGATGCATGCACACTCACACACGTGTGTGTGTAAGTATAGATACAGATAGACTTGGATGTCACGGAGAGGTGATATTGTTGGAACATTGTTTTCCCTATGCCCCAAATTCTTATTTTTAGCTTTGTAATCTGCATTTTAAAATGCCCATATCATGGGCAGCTTAGTCAAAATACTCTAATCCAAGAAACATGTATCTGGAAAGAAGAAAGTAAGAATTCAGCCCTGGCTGGTGTGGCTCAGTGGACTAAGTGCTGGCCTGCAAACCAAGGGGTGGCCAGTTTGATTCCCAGTCAGGCACATGCGTGGGTTGCAGGCCAGGTCCCCACTGGGGGCATGTGACAGGCAACCACACAGTGGAGTTTCCCTCTCTTTCTCCCTTTCTTCCCTCTCTCTCTAAAAATAAATAAATTAAATATTTTTTAACAAGAGAATTCAAATAACACCTCATTAGTGAGTGGGGGAAAGAAGGGAGGGTTGTGAAGACTCATTGCACCACTAGTGGAGAGTGCAGTGAGTCTTTCCCCTTTGCCATGTAAACACAGGTGAGTTAAAAAGAGCTTCTGGGTCTGTGAATGGAATGAATGAAGCTTTTCAATAAGTTCATTTAAAGCTCTATTTAACATTATATCCAGAAAGCTTAAGATCAGTAATCCTGATTATTTCAGGAGATGTTTTTAATATTCATAGTATTTTGAAGAATTTATTATTAAGTATTTAATATGGGCAAAACACTAAATTCAGTTTAAAGGTAACTAAGTATATTTCTAGAAATCTATTATTAAAAATTCCCATTGTTCTTATATTTTCTTAATCTATAGGAACTGTGGGTCTGTTTTGGTAGTGTAATGTTTGTAAAGGTCACATGTGTTTTACTTTACACTTAGAACCTCATAAAGTTAGAATCCTGTAGTAAGGCCCTGGCTGGTGTAGCTCAGTGGACTGAGCACAGGTCTGTGAACCAAAGGGTCACTGGTTCAGTTCCCAGTCAGGTCATGTGCCTGGTTTGCAGGCCAGGTCCCAAACAAGGGGCATGTGAGAGGCAACCACACATTGATTTTTCTCTTCCTCTTTTTCTCTCTCTAAAATAAAAAATAAAAATCTTTTTTAAAAAGAAAGAAATACCATAGTAAGTACATACACTATTTTTTTCTCTATCTTGCCTGTACCTGGACGCTCATTGTTTTTCTAAACTAGTACCTTAAAGAGTTATATCTGTCAAACTGTTGCAATAAGTTTAGGGAAATCTTTGCTTATTGTAGAGGCATAATTATATAATAATACTTTATATTCAAATAAATTAACATTTAAATTCTACTGTTTGTGATAAACATGTTTCTCATATATACATGTATGTGTGTACATACATATATATATACATATACATATTTTTAAATATTCCAGATTTTAAAAATTTAAAATACTTTATTTATTTGAAAATAATATGTATATATTAAGGCAATTTAATGAACTTTGAGTATTGGTTATTTTTCTAATAATAGTTTCCTTTTTACCTCATGAGGTAAAACTATAAAATATTTACGTTAAAGTGACCGACCCTTGGTAATAAGGAATATATATTTTCTTGTTTCTACTGTAGTTTGCATTATACTGTCTCAAAATTTCATATTCTCAATAATAATCAATAATATAAGGATATAGATTGAAAATTTACATTTAAAATTTTGTGTAGTGTCTATTTCTTGAGTTTCAAGGATAGTTTTTTTCTATTCCCCTTATTTCTATATCTGTATTTAAACCAGTTGTTGGCAGACTAATTGTAATGCTTCTTTTTTGTGACTAGAATCACACTTGCGAAAGAAATCTGGTGGCAGTCTCTGGACTAGATTAGATATGGCGGTCCCCAATTTTTTTGGCACCAGGGACTGATTTCATGGAAGATAATTTTTCCACAGACTGGGTAGAGTGGGGGTAGTTTCCAGATGATTCAAGTGCATTATACTCAAGTTCACCTACTGCTGTGCGGTTCGGTTCCTAACAGGCCCCACCTGGTACTTGTCTGAAGCCCAGAGGTTAGGTGCCCCTGGAAGCAGAAGAGTATCTAGGTAGATTGACAAATTATTTAAGATTTACTCTTTGACCATCCTTTCCTTTAAACTCCCCACTGATTTTTTCCCCAGTTTGTTTTCTAGTGTATAATCTATTTCTTTTATGAATTTCTTGTTCTCCATCTACTCCTTAAATATCATTTTTCAACATAGCAATTATTACCTTTTAATACTTCGAAAAATCACTAATGTACTTTTTGTTCACACCTAGTGCAGGATAGTTTCATGATGGAAAATTTTTATCTCTCCTTCCCTTTTTTCTTTCCTTTCTTTATCTTCCTCCTTCTTCCCCTTTATCTATCTATCTCTACCTCTTTATTTCTTTTAACTATATTTTCACTGTTTTGGCTCTAGCATGTCACTTGCATTCATTATGTTTTCACAAAGTCAGCAGATGTCCAAGAGCTCTCTACTGTCCTCATGCTACACTGTTTAAATAGTTGATCTTACCATTCTCATGGTTTCAGCTATGGGTATATGCAAATTGGTATTAAGAGGTCTAGCTCTTGGCCAGATTTCTGCACCAAATTGGAGACTCTTAATTTTAATATGCATAAAACCAAGTATCTTGCCCCCCAAACTAGTTCTCTAGCAAAATGCCAAATTAAAGACTAGGAGTCACTCTTGACTCTTCCATCCTGAATATGGATTCAATCACTCAAACGTAAAATCTTACTGACTTTATAAAATATTTCCCAAATATGTTTGCTATAGCCAAATATCTTATTTTAGTTCTCCTATACATTATCATAACTTACTGTCTGTGGTATGGTAACTGGTCTCCTTTCTTAAAATTCATACTCTATATAACTCCTGAGATTATTATTTTTAATGTGCTGTTGATGGTCACTGTCCAGTCTAAAAATAGTTTGATTGCCTTTTCAAAATAGTTTAAAAAGCTCGATGTTTTTAACAAGGCCCAGCAAGCCCTCAATAATTTGGTCCTTGACTCCTCTCTACCAACATCTGTTACTCTCTGCCTCAGACACCATTCATATTTTTCTGTATCGGGAAATATTTCTCAGCATTATGCCTTTGTACCAGCTTCTTGGAAGTACCCTTCACCTTCTCCATTTACCCAGCTAACTCTTATTTACCCTTTAAAACTCATCTCAGGCAGTGGCTCTTTTGGACCCTCTTATCTAAATGTTGGCTTGTCTCAAGAGTTATTCCCCAGTGCTTGTAAAATACATTCAGTATATATTTATAGCCACACTTAGCAGATGTGTATAAGTATGTATCCATCTCTACTCCTAGATAGAAATCTTTGAGGACAGTGAATATCTCACTCAGCTTTGTATTCCCAACACCTAGCATAGGTCCAGCACTTGCTCAATATATGTTGGCTGAATCAATGAATAAGTAAGAGTTTGGAGAAATTCTTTGCCTAGGGTAACCCTTTCTATTACCAGAGGTGTTGCTTCCTATTAAGAGGCCGCATGGAACAACAGTGAGCCTGGGAACCAGGAGTATCATATTTGGCAAATATAGAAAAATACTAAGTTTATTTCCCTGGGCCTCAGTTTTCCAGTTGATAAAATGAATATATTGAGCATGACTTTATTCATCATTCCAGGCTTAAAATTTTGCCTGCACTCCTAGAAAATTAGGCAATGTCTGGGGACATTTCAGCTGTCACAACTGAGGGGATGCTACTGGTATCTGGTGGGTATGGGCCTGGGATGCTGAACAGCCTGAAATCCCCAGAATCAGATCCCTCACCCCTCCTCCTGCAAAAAAGTTTTCTGGTATCAAATGAGAAATTATTTTTGCTTTCTTGGCCTATTTTACTTATCACTAACAGACCACAAATATAGCTATTGTTTCTGCTGCCTCTCTCTTCCACAAAAAGCTAAGCTCTATGGGAAAAGGCAGACCTTTACTTTATTCATTTAGTAATTAAATATATGCTGAGTGAGTGAATAAATGACTAAATGGAAAGATATGACAATGCTTCTGAACTGTCCACTAAATGTTATAATATAGATGATTTGCCTGTCTTTCATTTCCCGTTGACAGGACAGGGCACCTGGGAAACTTGACCACTCCTTGTAATGCCAATTGTAACTGCGTGCGATCCCGTTATTATCCTGTCTGCGGCAGAGATGGAGTCCAGTATTTTTCTCCCTGCTTTGCAGGCTGTAAAAATTCTGTTTCAGAAAGACGGCCAGAGGTAACTTGTGTCTGCTACTACCTTAATGAGGCAATGTTTCTGTTTTTATGAATGGCCTTCTCAGTCTCTCTCACGGAGTTCCACAGTGCCTCTTCCTTCCTTCCTGGCCCACCTCCTCCTCCACTCAGAAACCCGGTATAGAGTCTCAGTCACTAAGAGGAATAAGCTGCAGAGCTCTGCTGTGCAACATGGTACCTGTAGTGTATCATACACTTAGGATTTGTTAAAAGGGTAGAGCTCAGGTGAAGTGTTTTTACCTTAAAAAAACAAAAATGAAACCACAAAACCTGACCAATACAACAGGGAATGAGTCATTTTTTACATCACAGATGCAGTTATCATTGAAAAATTAACTCGGCAGTTACATCCTTGTAATGTTATTTTAATGAAATATTATTTACCATTTTGCATCATTTTATTTTTTTCTCAACTATACACCTCCCTTCAAGTCAGGGAATTTTCCTATTCTTACTAACTACAATGAATATAGTAGAAATATCATAAATATTTATTGCTTTTATTTGATGCAGCATGGATTCATTAAAAAGTACCAGAATCAATAACTCATTCTCAAGTACAAATTTACTTTTAATTCTGGATTAGAATGCATATCAGTTTACTTAGATGTGCTTTTTTAACTACAGTTAAATAGTTTTAAGATAATCCAATAGAATTTTATGCTACTACATGTACAAACTGAGGATTTATGTTAGCTATATTTAAGAACTTTGGGGACAAACCATATTTATAATATTCATATTACTAATACTATATATCTTAGGCATTAATAAATTATGTGGTAATACTAAAAAGAGCAGAGGGAAATATATAGTATGATATGATACCACAGTGAATAAGATGACAAAAAAGCCCAGTCTTGAATATTTGAGATACGGCCTTCCTTTTTCTAAAGGTAAATTTATGATGGCAAGAAAAGATTTCTGTATAAATACGGAAAAAGAATTATTTGAAATAATCTATAAAATTACTTCAGATTTCTCCTACAACTAACATGGATGTGTGTATATCTATGTGTGTGTGGTTATAAACAGTTATATGTTCATATGTACACACATAAATATATTTTATACATACATATGCATATATTTAATTAAATTTTGCAGGTGATAAAAATATTAAACATTTATCTCAACAGACTAGAATTTGATCTTCCTACTGAGTATAACCCAGGATGTGAAAAACAATGTACTTTTTTAAACATTACCTAGCTTACAGCTTTTAAAATGATCACCTGGGAACGTCAAAAAATGTGCCAAAAAAAAAAAAAGACCATGTTGAGTCATAGCAGACCTCTGATAGACATGACTACATCTGATTCTTAGAATAAAACTAATTAGATCACTACCATGACATGCCAATGAAAATTAATAAAAGACATCAGGAGTATTTTAAATCCCCAAACCTAGAGCTATCATACCTTCTGACCAGTGGATAGCTAGGGTTGCTTCAGTTTCAAAATAGGTTTGGAAAATTAGATGTCTCTGTTGGTTATAAAGAACATGACGTATATCATAGAATCAGACCTCAGTAAGTGCTATTAACTAACTCTAATTAGAGAATTATGACATGGAAGTTAAGGAAAGGGTTTTCCCTACATAGTAAAATTTATACATACAAATATTATCCTGCACAAGAAAACCAAGAATAACTAAGTAAATAATAAAAAGCCTACTTGAAGTGGTACTGGTTATTTTGATATGATTAATTTGATATTTACTATTTTTTTTACCACATACTATAATTGCTATTTTAGACATTAAATTGTCTTCTAGGGATTGTTTAGGAAAAACAAGTTGTTTTGACTTCCAAATTTTCTATTTGTCCTGGCTTTTTTATGTCCAACTATTCCATGTAACACCTCAGTTTTTCTAAATATATTTCTCTATAGAATATCTCAAATAAGCAAATGCATTGATAATAATGTAATAAACAACTACATACATTTCTTTACAGAAATATTAGTTTTATATTTCACACCAGTGACCCAAACTACAAAAAACAGATGCTAACAGCAACTATATTTAGGCAAATGTATACCTTTTTATGTAGGAAAGTTGTAGTTTCATCATAACAGAAAAAAAATATTCTCAGTTTTTCTTCTAAAAATTTTTAAAGACTGCATTACTTTATTTTGATGTATCTGATGGCTGAGTATAAAGTAGTCCACTTTGGGGGTGTCATCTGCCTGTCTGGGTGTCCTGAGTCAGTACCAGTGGCCCCAGGACACCTTTAACACCCCAAATCCCCAAAGATCTCTGACACCCAGACAGTAAAAGCACCATCACTTCCCTTTGACTTCTCTGGCTCTGCTCTGACTTTACTGAGGCCTTAGATGTGTAAAAAGATTTATATTAAGGATGGAGTTGAGATGTAAAAAGCCTTTAAAAAATAATGCTGCCTACCTTTAAAATGTCTGAATGTTTTCATACAAAAAAGTAATGCTGTGTGTGATTTTTTGACATGTTGCCTTCCAACATTTCACATTCCAAATTTATATGTATGTATGCATATGTGTATATATATATCAATTAAATAGCAAGTATGTTATTTATGTATAAAATAACCTTCCAGATAATGTAATAGCCTCTAGTTTCTGATTTTCATAAATATGCCATCATAAGAGGGAGACAGTTTGCTTTTAGTGAGGACATTCATAAAAGTTAAAAAATTATAGTAAAAAGGTCCAGTTGAAAGCAGCATCCTCCCCCCAAACTCATGTGACATATTAGTAAATTTTATTGAATCACTTGTTAAAGTTGTAGTGTTTGTTCTTTTAAACTAGTGCAATGGAGTTATTTTTTTGTATCCGATAATGGAAAAGAAGAAAGCAAGCAGGAAAAGTATTTGAATGATTATGATCAATTCAAAGCAGTCTAGAATGTGTGTGATAACATAATTGTTAGATCGTTTTCAATTTGTTTTGTGAGTCCTGAATCAATAATAGGTTACAAGTTGAACTAATGGACACAAATGTCAAACACAGGTGATTCTACTTCATGAATATGGACACCTGTTAGCTCAGTCTCTTTGGATGAATTACTCTTTCTTGGCGTTCTTGGTTGTTGTGTATGCATCAAGACTGTGTAAGAGAGCCATGTCTAGAGATCACCGCATTTACAGTGATAAAGCATGTTTTCAGGATAAACACTCTTGGCATTTTTGTGTCTAATATTCTAGGCATATTATAACTGTTCCTGCATTGAAATGAAAACAGAAATAACACATCCTGGAGGAAGTTTTGGTTTTGAAGCTAAAGCTGGGAAATGTGAAACTCGATGCACAAATTTGCCCATATTCCTTGGCATTTTCTTTGCTGCAATTGTTTTTACCTTTATGGCTGGGACTCCTATAACTATGTCCATCTTAAGGTATGTATTATATTTTTAAATTTGCCATCCCTAAGGCAACATGTTGAATAAAAAAATGGACTCAGGGGTTCACTTGGGCTTTACACTGACCATTGGTTTTAATGCAAATTCAGCCCTTACAAGATCATTAGTTTGATGCTATTAAAAATCACTGAGTCTCACATGTATGAGGTTTAAATGAAATCATGTATGTGAAAGTGTCCTAACATTGCACACTTGTTATATGCTTGATGTTGGTTTCTCTGCTTCTCTCATGAGGCTTTGTTGTAAGCTGGAAATATGTTCAATTGGATTTGAGTGTGATGGAAACAAAGCACTCCATGTATGTCAGAGTCAGAATGACATGCATTCTATTTTATACAGCAGGTGCTGTGATATTAAACCTTCCTGTAAACCATACTAATGGATACACAGCTAACTGTTGCCTGGCTTTTCACAGTGTTCTGTGCTTTTGGTTGCTCATCTGCTATCCACACCACTTTGTAAAAATATTTCCCATCTCCCTTTCCATAAGCACTTCAGCCTCCCTATTTCTTTTCTAACAAACTCTGGCTTTTTCCTTTTTCAGTTTTGGTTCCTCAATACTCACCTTTTTTTACATACTTTTGATGAGTGGACATTTTAGAGACTATGTCTAAAAACATTAGTCTGGTAACCTCACACTACATGGAAAATTGGAGTCATTTAGAGAATAGAGAATATGCTTTTAAAAAATTTAATTTGGCTCTTGTACATAGTGCTGCAGTGAATACAGGAGTGCATGTATTTTTTTGTATTAATGTTTTAGATTTCTTCAAACACCCACCCAAAAGTGGAATTGCTATGGAGTACAGCAGTTGTATTTTTAATTTTGAGGAGAATTTTCATACTGTTTTCCATAGTACTTGCACCAATTGACAGTGTCAACAGTGCAGGAGAGTTCCGTTTTATCCACATACTTGCCAACACTTGTTATTTGTTGAGTTTTTTATACTAGCCCTTCTAACAGGTATGGTAATATCTTTTTGTGGTTTTTATTTGCATTTCTGATGATTAGTGATGTTGAGCATCTCTATGTCTTCTTTAGAGAAATGCCTATTCATTTTCTCTGCAAACTTTTCATTGGATCTTTTTCACTTCTTCACTTTATTTTTTAAAATTTTATTGTATTTTTTTCATTACCATTTAGCCCCCTTATGCCCTCCACAATGACCACACTACTTAGTTGTTTATCAATAGATGAATGGAGAAAGATGTGATTAGTTACATACATATATACAGTGCAATATTACTCAGCAATAAAAATTAATGAAACCTTGCCATTTGTGACCATGTAGATGGATGTGGAGGGTATTATGCTGAATGAATAAGTCAGACAGAGGAAGATGAATACCTTCTGATTCCACTTACAATGGAATCTTTAAAAAAATAGGCTTCTAGGAACAGAACAAATTTGATGATTGCCAGGGGGTCAGGAAGGGTGGGAGGACAAGTGAAAAAGGTAAAGGGGAATAAGAGGAACAAATTTTCTGTTATGAAATAAATAAGTCACAAGGATATACCGTATACCATAGGAAATATAGCTGACAATGTTTAATAACTGTGTATGGTGACAGATGGGTACTAGACTTAGTCTGGTGATCACATCATAAAGTATATAAATGTTGAATCACTATGTTATATGCCTGAAATATATTGTATGCCAACTGCAGTTAAAAAATAAATATAAAAAAATAAAGTGCTCAGATTTTTGTAAAAAATTATTTTGAAAAAAATATCTATGTTACTTTTCAACTGCAAATTTGTTTTTAAGGAGTAATTGATCTCTTTAACCCACATCCAGTTCTCATGTCCCAGCACCATGTCTCACTCACATTAGACTAGTTACTAAAGAATTGTTGTTGACTCAGAATGAGCCTCAGCAACCGTTTTACATGGTCTCCAATTTGTACTCTTGACCCATAAGTATGGCTCCTGTCTCAAACTTAGTAAGGGAGTAAGAATTGTTTGCTTGAGACTAAAAGCAAACAATGAATTCATGTGACCCGTGAATTCAGCAATAGTCAACATAGGTCTTATTAATGAATACTCCTTTTCCTTTACATTTGTTAAAATTCATATATTTTCAGTGCATCTATTAACATTTATTTGACTCTTTTTGGTGTTATTGGAAGTATTTTCATTCAGAAAACATTTTCCTCCTTTTATAATTCCAGAAAGTTTGAACTGTATATGAACTGTTAGAAATAATTTGTTTTTTTTAATGTGCATAACATTTACTTTAATCTAGAAATGCTACCCAGGTACAAAAATGAATTTGCTCAAAAGGTGAATGAACTGTACAACCACTTTTGGCCTTGTGTGTATTTACTGTCCCTAGGTGTGTTAACCAAAGGCAGCGGTCTCTGGCATTGGGAATACAGTTTATGGTGCTTCGATTATTAGGTATGCCACTTGTCTTAATTCGTTAGTAACTTGATTATTTTTGTTCATTAGTGTTATTGATTTGTCCATTTTTGGTATGCGCCAAGAAAGTAATTAATTAAGCCCTCTAGAAAACCACATAAATGTCATTAAAGAAAGCTGTTTTCCAATATTCAAGATGTATTGTTTGTATATCACATAGCAGGGTAATGACTTGACTTTTTACCTATCTGATTGGTTAAATATTTTTTCCAATTCTGTTGCAAATATAACCTTAAAGGTTATATTGTATTTATTTGAAATATTTGATCATAGATGTATTTCTAATAGACATATTTTCCTATTCATAAAAAACTTATTACCAGCATAAATTAATGACAAAATCTTATTTATAACTATGTAATTTTTTTCTTCCTCCATTTATCTCCATTTGGGACATGATTATGTTGTATCAGCAATAAACATTAGTTAAGATTGATGGGAGAAAAAATTTATACCAGAAAGCTTTATAAGGTTCCAGATGTAGGAAGAGTAAGAAAGAAAAACATTATATTATGTACCTAATTATGTGTTTATACTTACACACACAATATTATACACATTGTATTAAGATCACCTAAAAAAAAAAAACAAAGTAGGAACACTGGAGGTCACCTGCACCAACTTTCCCATTTTTCAGGTGAGTAGATGAAGGCCTGAGAGATCCGGGGATTTGCCCCTGGTCACACAATTCATGGTGCAAATGAGAGCAGGACACGGTCTCCTGGCTCAGCCCAGTGTCCTTTTCACTCTGTCGTGTCACAGGTCATGAAAAAATAGGCTGGATGTGGCTGAAGGCTGTCTGAGCAATACCGCCTCAAATCATTTTTAACTATTGGGAAGCTCCTTAATTATGTGCCTTCTGCCCTCCCACAGGGTGGGCAGTGTGTGTTTCAGGTAGCAGCACTAGGTGTATTAGATTAATGTTCATGGGTACACGTGTGCATTCTCATGCACACATACATGTCAGTGTGGGTGTATATGTGTGCCTAGAGACATAAAACATATAATACAAATACTAATAAGTTCTTAGCACTTATTGTGTACATTAGTAATTTATTTAGATTTTTTAAAAATTGTAATAGCTAATTACAAATACACATTTATTAAATTAGAAAAGCAGTGAATGAAAATATTTACTTAATATTAATGCAATATATGCTAGAGATTTTTATTAAAATAAACATCAATTGATTAGAAATATATAGTTATATATAATTATTTTGGCATTTTTGCTTATTTTTCTTTATATCCCTATTAATTGTACATGAACTGATTAATTTGCAAGTGGACAGATGTTTTCTACAGAGAAATTAGTTATTGAGTATTGGAATAACTCAAATGCATTAAAAGTTCTGCTTTATGACTTTTTAAAGAATTGCTGCTCACACAGGTTTCAAGTAAAAATAGGAAGCCAAAGTCAATAATTTTTTTGCTTAAATGGATAGATTTAATACTTACTCTCATTTACATAAAATATATGTATCATCACGAACAAAAATCTATAGCTATAAACTAATCTTTGCCCGTGTGTGTTTCACACATAATTCTCCTAGGCTCAATACCTGGACCCATTGTTTTTGGTGCTGCAATAGACAGCACATGTGTTCTCTGGGATATCAACGAATGTGGAATTAAAGGAGCTTGCTGGATTTATGATAACATCAGGATGGCCCATATGCTGGTGGCCATAAGTAAGTAGTGACTTACCGATAACTTTAGATTCAATCGATGATGTTGTGAGAAAAAACAGTTATTGTTACTTAGGTGTTGAAGGGTTCAGTCTGTGCTGCTGGGCTGCCCTGCAGTCCTGAAGCAGAGATCAGTTATCCTCAGGTAAGAGAAAGCTTTACCTGGAGTTGGCAAGATTCAGTGTAGAATAAAAAAAGAAAATAACATTTTAGCTTTCAGTACATCACATATCACATAATTTTCTTTTAACATGTTTTCTCAAACTCTTCTTGAGAAATCTAACCAAAACTGAAGGAGAATTCCTAGAAACTGGAGTGATTTCATCTAGGAACCTAGGCTCTGGAGAGGCTGCGGAGCTGAGGCAGGGAAGTGTCCGGCCCGAGGCAGGTTACAAGAAATCCTTTTGTAAGTTTAGAAGATAAGCCAGAATGTTGAACCCTTTTTGCCTTTCCCAGTCTGTCTTATGTAGTCTTGGTTAAGGAATAAATGAAAATTAAGATTAAGGAAGCAGAGTAATGCATCCATCTTGTGAGAGTAAGATAAAAATTTTAAAACAACCTAAGAAATTAGAATATTTTAAAACAGAAATCCTAGATAGAAATATATATATATATTTGTATGATGTGTAATTTTCATTGCAATTGTGATCACAATTACTTTGGCACATGTATCATGATAGCTTATTGCTCTTCCATGTCTTTAAACTCAGAGTGTGCTGTCTGAATTTATGATGACAGAGTAATAAGATGTCCAATGAAGAAAGAAGTACATAAATTTAAAAAATGGGAGAGTAAATACTGACCAGAATAGGAAAAATTAATCTTCTTACCACTTTTTCCTGCTAAAAATGTTTTTATTTAATATGTTTTTATATTTAAAATTTTAATTCATAATGTTTGTACTGCTTCACCAAAATATATAGGTAATGAATTGTCCCTTTTCCTACTGTGGTGAATGTGAGAATTTTTCCCCCTGAAACATATATACCTGTAAACTTTTCAAAATCATTGTAACAGTAGCGCTTATGTAATTAATCTTCCTATAAACATAGAAATACTTAGTGTCTTGAGCATTCTTGTTTTTCAAAGACACATTTTGAGTAAAATATTAATGATTAACACAAAGTAGCTACATTGCAAAAACTTGGTGGTGAGGCCAGGTCGCTGGTCTGACTGGAACTGAGTTGCCTGTGTGGTGGTCAGCTCTCGCTACTCTTTGTTGAGCTGATCTCAGATTCCAAGTTGTTTGAAAACAAATCAAGCTGGTGAAGTGAATCTCAATGTTGTATATTTTTAGTTGATAACTTAAAAGTAAATTTGGTTAAGTATTAAATGTGATATATTCTCACAGGGGCTTTCTCCTAAGAACTTCAAAGCTTTTTCATTATTAGCGTTGTTTTTCCATCATGAACATGAAAATTCTGTAACTTTATTTCAGGTTCAAGGATGTTGTAAGCTGTTTTCCTTTGTCATTGACTTGGTTGCTTGTAATTTTTTATAGGTATGGGATTGTTAGTAAAGTTAGGTATGGAACATGAATTTACTTCATTGTATAGAATACTTATTTTGCAGCAATGTACAATTATAAACAAGAATAAACTAATTGTATATTTTTATTGTTCAGACAAATAATATAGCCTAGTTCATTGAAATGCCTACAAGATTTTTATTGAGCAATATCACCATTCTTCCTAAAGTTCTAAACATTCAAAACATATGACTTGCCCTGGCCTGCTGTCTCCGCTGGTTGCAGTGCCGTCCCTTTCACCAAAAGGCTGTGGGTTCTGTTCTCGTCAGCACACCTAGGTTGCGGATTTGGTCCCGGTCGGGACATGTAAGAAAAGCAACCATTGATGATGTTTCTTTCACTATCACATGGATATTATGTTTATGTCTTTCTCCCCCCGTTCTTCTCTCTAAAAATCAATAAAAACATCCTCCAGTGAGGGTAAAATAAAAAATGAAACATATAATTACAATGCTTATACATTTCTCTTTAATGTAGAGTTCCTAGTTGTGAAGAATTTCTTAATGAGAATTGGTTTCTTTAGTCATTAAAGGCCCAAATGTATGACTGATTTTTCTTTTTATATTTAGGTGTTACTTGTAAAATTATCACCATTTTCTTCAATGGACTTGCAATCTTTTTGTATAAACCACCACCGTTAGACACAGATGTATCATTTCAAAATTTGAACAAAGCTGCGACTGCTGACTCAGTGGAGTGTGACTTCAACACAGCAGGGAATGATGAAGGGTGACGGAGAAAATGGGGAGACTGTCTGGCAGCTGGGAAACTGGCCTCCACTTAGGAGGATGTACATTGCCCTCACAGCATTATGTTCTCAATACGGACAATCGTTTTTAAAAATGGGTGTTTGATAATTCAGTGTGTTTTTCTGTATATTTCTGTATATTTATGGACTTTAACTTGTTTTGTTTTAATATAAGAAACAGACCTGTGCCTTCAAAATCCACCAAAAGCTTCAACACACACACACACACACACACACACACAGTGAATTCTCATTGTCTTGGTATGAAATTCCCAACTAATATAAACTAAGCCAGAGAAAAAAGCTAATAATTAGTTAAAACTTATGTGTACGAATTTAATTAAATTCATGTGTAATGAGTTTCAAATACTATTATTGAAATCTCATGAATTTAAAACCAGCTAAATAATATTTTTTTCAATTTGCGTATACTAATATGTTTTTTATCACAGAAATGTAAAGAACTATTAGGATATATGTTAATTACCTTCTCTGTGTCCTAGTATATAGTGAATTTAGAAATATCAGCATTGTACACTTATTTGCATTTTAACTCAAAAAGTCCAGGAGGTAATTTGTTAATATTGCTGGTTCATAACACTGAACCCCTTTATGTGAATCCGTGATAGTGTTGTTCAGTTACATATCTTCTAGAGGAAAGCACCAGCTCCAGCAAAGAAAAGTGCCAATTAGACACAAAGAGACTTTTTTCATGATAGGTGCATTTTATTTATTTCTTTGAAAAGAATTTTAATGAATGATTAATGTTTAGATAGTACTTTTATTTTTATCATTTAAAAAACTGATTAGTACATTCCTTCTAGCACTAAAATTGTGCTGTGCTTATAAGTTAGGATGTCCTATTATTGTTTGATTGAAACACATTCTTCAACTGATCCATTTATCTGAGAGATAAAATGCTGCAGTTGTCTGATATTACAACACTGTTTATTCAGATCAGACTTCGGCCAACTTTGTCTACGCAGAATGTGGAGAAAATAGATCAATGAACATCATCAAAATTGACTTCTGCCTGGTCAAGAATTTTACCGATTAAGAAAATGTTCATTCCCACCCATTTGACATTTTTGTGGAATGAAGTTGCTAATTTAATAAGGTTAGCTTTTTTACAAACAGTGTGTTGCGTACACTGTGATCAGAATAACAAACTGAGAGTAAAGGTGTGATAGGAAACCAGGATCAGACGCACTGCTAATTCACAGAATGTGCAGATTATATTCCATGGTAATCTGTGGCCAATGGTGGTTCAAGAAACTAGTAGCATTTATTAATTAAAATACAGAAAGGAATGAATTAGAGTTAGGCAAGCAAGCACACCTGACTATGAGAGAATTAGAGGAGAGCAGAGGGTAGGAATCAGAGAGACAGAAAAACAAACCAAGAGCATAGAGAAATCAGAGGCTGAAGCTCAATGTATAGTCAAAACCCAGGAACTGGAGAAGCAGGAAATTCACAGCAACCAAAGACTCAGTGCAAGGTAGCAGGGAACACACAATACCTCTATCAGAGTCAACCTCCCTTCCCCTCGACCCGGCACATTTCGGTGCTGCTCCCTGTGGGAGCCAACCAAGAGGAGAGTTCAGGCTTTCTGTGTCTGTGTGGAAGCAGGGAATTGAATAGAAAAATTGTCTAGATGTAAAAAAACGGCAAATTCTGAGGAACTCATTGATAGTGATGTGAAACCACAGCAAGAGAGGGAACAGAATAACTATGAAAACATTCTTCTAAGGCCACTTAATTAAGAAAAGAAAAAAAAGTAACTCCACACATAAAAATAGTTGGATGAACAAGTCACTAAATAATTGGCATACTTAATGGTTTTAGTTGTCAAGGATTTTATTGTATTCTGGGTACTTATTTCGTGATACATTTTACAAACGTTTTAGTAATCATCAAAGTAAAGATTTTGGCACTTGAAGGACATCAGTCTCTTATTTATAATATACATATTTACAGAGAATACCTCCTTTCATGATAGGGCAGTATAGACACTACTGTAATTTATAAATGTTGTTTATACTTTTGGGTTTACCTAGATGACGTGGGTTGGTATTATGCTACTTTTAAAACACAATTTTTCATAATTTGTGTTTTTCACAATTTATAATGATTTTTTAAATAAGCTTGAATCTACAAGTGTGGTGATTTTTGAATGCAATTAACTGCATATGTCTTATTTTTAACATTTTTTAACATTTAGATTTTCTTACTGTAAGAAATCCACATGTAAAACTTATACAGGGAGAAAACTGTATACAGGTGATTTAGCTCTGTAAATTGGAGGAAAATATACATAAAATTTTAGCTCTATTTTCTTTCCAGATTTTTAAATTGTGAACAATTATGCAAAATGTATAATTATGCCTTCCTTAAACTCAGACTTTATAATAGATTTTTGTGTGTTTAACCTTCTTAAATGGTATGGATTTCGAAATGATTGATCTGTTTATGACTACATACACAAATGATGGTGGGAGAGGGAAAACCAGAGTACTCTTGAACTTGTTCAATGTAATTTAGTTAATCTGGTGATTTCTGTTTTCTCAACAGATGTATACCTCAATACAAACCACATACTTTATGAAATGCATACAAAAATTCTCCACACAATAGTTTTCATGTATGAAAGATGGATATGTAATATTCATATGAGCAGGATACATGTTACAGATGGTGGGTTGTGAAATACCTGACACTGCGAAAGTAGTGTTTTGGAAAAGTTATATTTAATTCATCGGGTTATCAAAATCATATAATAGATTTAAAGGGATCAGATTGGACATTAATTTGAGATGTAATGTTTTTTTGCCCCTCACTACAACACATTCAGTCTCCTCCGGTCTTTTTTGTGTGTGCCCAATCAATAAACATGAACTTATACATTATATGTGAGTGATCGAAAGTAAATAAAAGGCTATATTTTAAAAATTGAATTAGTACATTGGATCAGAACATATTCGTGTTTTAGCTACAATTAATTTATTCTATAAAAACTGCCCTCAATAATTGACACCCCAATTTCTTCTTTTTAAAGTCAGCTTGTCTGAATTTTTGAAACTTTGTTTTGTAATAGTTTTATACTTATAAAAACTTTCTTTAAAGTACAAAGAACTTTCCTATAAGCTTTCCTAGGCTCCCTCCCCCCAATGTTAACATTTTACATGGTCCATAGAGCAATTATCTACCCCAGGAAATTAGCATTGGAGAAAATCAGCAAAAGGGCATGGTAGGACTATTTCCTGTGTGAGCAACGTCAGTGTTTTTTTTTTATTAATTGTTGAACTGTACATATTAAAATAAGGTGTTTTTGCTATAAGTAAATCATGCCCCAATAGAATTGACTTGTAAAGAGGAAATAATATTACAAACAATGTTTTGTTTTGTTGTTTTTAAAGAACATCTCTGGGAATCATGCTAGGGATAAGGATGTTTCTAAGAAAGGATCTTGATATCTCCTCCCTAAATTGGATGCTTGCTGAATTCAGTCCCATCAGACTGAAGAATGTACACTGACATTTTGAGGGAAGAAAGGAACACAGAATTGGGTTCCTGGCTTAGGCCTAGGTACCACAATACAGAGGAAGCCTTAGAGGAGTAGCCGCTCTTACCTGAAGACAGGAATTGCCCATGCCTTGAGAAGCCAAGAACATGACATTCTTGAGCAAGTCTTGATGGTAGGTACTGAGCCACAGGGCTGCCTGCTGTGAGGTCTGACAGAGGGTCCCTGACTTAGAATGGTTTGACTTGTGATTTTTCAATTTTATGATGGTGGGAAAGCAATAAACATTGAGTAGAAACCATACTTTGCATTTTGATCCTTTCCCAGGGTGGTGCTGTCCAGTGTGACACTCTCGCGATGCTGGGCAGGGACAACAAGCGGCTCGTCCCAGTCAGCCAGGCGATCTGCGGAGTAAACAGCTGGTACTCCACAGCGTGCTGAGTGGCCAGCGCTTTTTGTTTTACTTCAGTGTTTCCAACATTGTTCAGCCCGGTGCACTTGCAGCTGTGAATGTTAATGGTGAGTACCCACCCCTACGACCATTTGGTTTTTCACTTGCGATGCAGTAGTCAATGAATTACATGAGCTATTCAACACTTTTTTTTATAAAATGGGTTTTGTGTTAGATGATTTTGCCCAACTTTAGGCTACTGTAAATGTTCTGAACATGTTTAAGGTAGTCCAGGAAATTGGGTGTATTAAATGCACCTTTTTGATTTAGGATGTTTGAAATTTACAATGAATTTATCAGGATGTAATCCCATCAACAGTGGAAGAATAACCTTAGAGGCAGGAACTAAGTCTGTAAGAAATCAGCTCAAGGGAGCATCCACCTGTCTGGGATCAGATCACTTCAGCCACCACTGTTGACCGACAATTGTATCTCCTAATTAGGGCAGCTTTTTGGGGGGGCCTGCCAGAAAGGCGGGCATGGAGGTCATCCAGGAGTTGTTGAGAGAAAAGAACATGGGTCCTGGTAATGTCAGGTTTTTTCCTCTCTCCCACTCCCCTGCAGGAGAATACAGGAGATGAGGACTATTGAGTTTACTATCCCTTCCCTTAGTAAGATCCTTCTCTACAAGTCAGTTCTAACTTGGGGCTTGACAGAATTGAGACCTTTCTGATAGTTAAAAATGGCCTGGTACCTATGGAGTCTTTCCAAGAATGTTGGCAAGGGGGTGGAGTTAATATTGTACAGAATGGATCTGAAGGGGGTGTACAATGGATAAGGGGGTTTACCTGAGTTCCACTCTTTCTAGTTATGTTACTATCTTTGCATCCTTTTACTTATTCAAAAATATAAACACTGTGATTTTAGTATAGTTCTCTCTAACCCATGATAAGAATTCCTTAACTTTCTGAAAATGATTAATTAGAGTTTGGATTGAGTGATTGCCAACAATCCTCAAAATAAAGTCACCTACAGAGCTTTAAAAATTAGTCAACTCCCAACCAGGACCAATGAAATTCACTTTTTCAAAATTTCCTAGATGACTCTAAAGTGAACTCAGGGTTAGATGGAAAGGGTTTGAAGAAGTTGAGGCCAAGGTCGTAAATCACATTTTGACTGTGATTTATTTTTTTTAATTTCCAATTTGATCTCTAAGAGAATAAAAGTTTGGTTTGAAAGCAAAGGACAGAAAAGGAATAATTTGCTAATTTGGGGGCTCCCGAAAACATGAAAGCATGTGCTGTCTGGGGCAGAGTTAGGTGAGCTGGGGAAGAAAGTTGGAAAGCAATGGAGAGAAACGTACTTGTTTCCAAAGTTTTCCCAAGGCTCTTCCTTTCAGAAATAAAAACTTGGAGAACTGCACTTAATAACTTCCTTCTTTTCGTGTATGAACAAGTCACTTCTGTAGTAATTTGGGCATTAACATTCACTGCAGATTATTTCACAGAGAGATCCAAGAACAGGGTTGAGTGTATGGCATCGTGTAGCAATAGTATGAGAAATTCCGGTAGAGGAAAACGGAGCAGATTTGACACAATTAAGTGGAGATGCTTAACACACTGACAGACATAAAAGACATCCTGGCACGTGTTCCCCCACTATGCTCTTCGGATCTGCCAAAGAATAGGGAAACACGGACTCGTCTGGCTTCCCAATGGCAGAATACTGCGACTAGTCTCTTTGCTGGTAGTCAGCAAAGCAGAAGCTTACCCAAGGAAAGGGAAAGATAAATCACTGTATCAAATATACCCAATTTTCTTCTCTTTTTCTTGTCTTGTATACTGTATGTCCTGCTTTTGCCTTGGCTTAGAGTCAATCTCTTACTGGCTCTCCTTTTATACATATAAATAAATGGTGTAATGATAATGATATGTCTTTGCCAAGCAATTTGAAAGTCTGAAAGTTATAAGTAGCAAAACTTGTTGGCTAATACTGCTCATGAAAACACTTAAAAATATAGCAAATTCAGGCAATCCTAGTGAAAATGAGGCTGTTATTGCTCATTGAAAATATCAGTTATTGCTTATCTATCGGGTGTGAGGAAATGTGCTAGATTATTGCACGTTTTATAATCCCTCTAATATTAACAATTATCTCACATAAGAGACAACTAAAGCCCAGGGGAATTAAATTTTCAAGGCCAAAAAGCTAGTAAGTGTCAGAACTAGAACTTGAATTCAAGTATGTGTGGTTCTAAAGTTTGGGCTTTTTTTTTCACTGGAACACACTGAGAATAAGTTACATAGATTTAAAAGAAAAATGCAAACCAAAAAACAAACAAACAACCCCCCCACAACTTTTAATTGTGGAGATTATCCAATATTGCTTTTAATCCTAAAATTATATTTCATAAAGTTATAGTTAGAAAATTTGAGTCACTCGATATAAAATATGCTGGTTACAAGAATAATCGAATTTAAATTCTTTATTTTTCCAGGTTTGCAATTTATATTTTTACCAGCAGGTGGTGGTGGTCTTACTACTACAAAAAAGATGCTTTGCTTTCAGACCCTGTACAGTTTCTTAACAGAAGAGTATTTCTGGCTCCTTGGTAAATATTTTATTCCCATTTTAAATAATCATTATTTCTATCCTTCTAGTGATTTTCCCAGAACTCTTTTCTTTTTTTCAGATAATTAGATAGATTTCCTGATAAAGGAAAATTATTCAGGGACTAACAAGAAGTATTTGCTGGGTGAATTTTACTATTTCTACTTTTTTTCTTTTTTTGAAATAGAATGGCACAGATTACTTCTTTCATGGGTTTTTCTGCCAGATATTGACCAAGAGAGAATTTTAGGTACTTTGTATTTTATTTTAAACACCAAATAACTACTTAAATTATCTTCCATTAAAAGTATTTTATCCTTATAAAGCACAGAAAAGAAATAGCAAAAATAATAAATTTCTAAATTTTGACCAAGTTGTCTCTCCATTGGCAAGAATGAATTCTGTGCATACCCACATTTTTATTATTATTTTACCCTCATACTAGGATTTTCTGCCATTGGTAGCTATAAAACCACTTGAAAATAGAATTTTTAAAAATGAATCTGAGGATATAGATAATATGTACTCATATTTATTACATACAAGTGTGTTCATAGTTCTCAAACTGTTTTTGAGTAGCAGGAAATGCATTAGATTCTGTAGTTTTCTTGCAAGACCGTGTCTCTCAAAATTTCTTTTTAATCCAATTGGGGCTTTAATGTGCAGTGCCGTGACTAGAGCTACTGTCCTCAGAACCTCAGCATCTAACTGGTGAAGCAACACCTCAGTGTGAAGAGTTAGCAAGTAAAACAATTCAAGATTTAAATAAACGTCAAAACATTCAGCTTCCAGAAACACTTATTAGCTTTTTACTTAGTGCCAGGAGCTGTGTTGAGCTTCAAAAATTGTGTGGAAGAGGGCATTGCAAGGCCCTTTGTCTGTATTCTTCAGGGTCTCATGGACTTTTGTAAACATAATGGTGGCTAATCAATTATATTAAAATATAGTTCAATTTTATCACCAGGCTTTGTATGTAAAGGCGTTTAGTGTCAAGCACAGCTGATAACACAGAAATATAGATCTTACTCTCACTGCTCCTCCCAAGCCAGCACTTACAGTCAGTACATCTGTAAAGAAATATAATACGGAGTGTTCAAATTGTTACCAGAATGTACAAATGGGAGTGACTCGACAACTCTATCTAGAATTTTTATGCAGTGGAGCGACAGCTGTGTTCGTGATTTAGAAAGCAGTGGATTGACGGAATGTTACAAAGCAATGTCCTACCACAAAGAACTTGCACAGCTTTGTGCCCAGACCAGTATAGTGAGAGCCAGGTCCACAGTGGAACAAACACATAGAAGCCCTGAGTATGGGCCCCGACCTCATGTTCTGCAGGTGATAGATACTGTTTTTTGCTTTACAGAAGAGAGAGAGACATTAAATAGGACTTTTTCAGCTTCTGTT